TTATGCATCTGTGAAACAAACCTTGGAGAGCGTTAATTTACATGATCGAACGATCACCCGCGTTTTCCTGACTCCCTGTTATATGCAACAATATATTTGTGTTAAACTCGTGAGTTTCCGATTAGAGAAACCTAATTTTTAAAATAAGACTAGAGACGAAAAGTATATAACTAAGCTCTCTTCTCTTGCATTCTTTGTAAGTTTGAATTTACCTTCATGCTTAACGTTAGTCATTAACAAATTTACAATGGAAAATATGTCACACTATTGCTCTTCTGATTAGTTTTATTTTATATTAATTTCATTTTTTTTTCTAAATATTTTTGCAATTCTAAACTTTTCACCGCCTGATAATGCAGAAAGGTACATGCCCCTTTTTATATTCATATTAAAGCAAATAAAAGAAACGTATCAAATTTGCCGGTATATGAGACGCAAGCCATTTTCAAAAAGCGTTTTTTGAAAAATAAATTATTTGTCAGTGTCTGATATACATTATTTGAAATTTTAGTACTTCTCGTTTTTATTTAGTGTTTATTTTTATTTATTATTTTATTATTCTCGTTATAATTTGTAAGTAAATTGTGTCTATAGCTATAGCTCCATTTTAAGCCTTAAGTAGTGGCCAAGCCGAAGTCGGCTGAGGGCCTGCCATTGGAGGGAAAAAAGATATTTTTCTTGATAAATTTCAATGCATAAAAAACTAAAAACAGTATTCCTTTAGTTTTAAAGCCCGTCCAAACATAAATTAATCCATTGTTTTTGTTATTTTTGTGACTTTATTTAATTTTTAAAAACAAATCCAAATTATTTATTTTAATTTTAAAATATTTGCTAAAATTAAATAGTGTAAATGAAAATATTGAATTCCCTCAACTGCTTACAGAGAATACGTATTTGACTTCCAGAAGAAATAAATACCTAATTTTCCGGATTTTCTTATTATCTTAATGGACTTGAGTCCCAATTATGCTGGATATTTTGCATTCTACTGCACTTACATTGATTGCTATTTCGAAACATTTTTATTCAATAACAATGTATGTTTTTTATTTAATCAAGTAAACAGTAAAGAACGAATAGGCTTGAAATTCTGTAAGAAAATAGGCAGTGCATTATGAAAGGCATAAAATATCAAGCATTCCGAATTTCAACTCCATTCATGAAAGAATTCGAAAGCACTAACTGATTGAACTATTTCGAACATAGATAAATTAAAAATAAGAACAAATGTTACATCGTTTCTTATTTATCTCATTTGGATTTTTATAAAACAATGGTAAGTTAAGTGATGCCTTATGTGAACGAAAATAAAATATTCTTATTTTTGGTTGCAATGAGAATTAAAAAAGGAGAACACTTTAAAGCAAAAGTAGCATGTTAAGTAGCAATTCTTAGAAGTTCAACCAACAGTAATCAGCTTAATGCTTTGAATCAGTACTATTTTCAAATGCTTTACACCAGAATTTTCTCCAATTGCAAGAATGAAAAAAGAGTGAGTTTTACATTTTTTTCACTCTGTATATCTTTTTCACTCTTTTCACTTCAGACTTTTCTTTTAAGTAAAACCTTCGAAACTGCAAATTTTAAAAAAGAATGCAAACTGAAACTGCAAATTCGAAAATCGAATGCAAACTGAAACTAAAGATTCTGAAAATTACTGTTGGTTTACCTTCTAATAAGAATATAATAGTTAGAAAGCTAAACAAAAGGGTATAAACATTAAGATAATTTTAAAGATATATTTAAAAAATCCTTTTGTTTCAGGTATGTAATATGGGATTCATAAATTCTTTGTTTAATTACAAAATTATGATGATATTTTTACTTAGATATGTAGATAGAATTAAGTTACAATCGAAACATTCTACTGCATTTTCTAAGAGATGAGAAACAAATTCCAAATTCCTGTGCATAAATTCAATGCTTTATGGATATATATTAGTTATTTTGAGGAAATTTACGCATTTTTAGAACGCTTTCTGTAAAGAATTTTAAAACTTAAATGTTTGTGAATAAACATATCTTGCAACAGATTATTATTTGAAATGAAAAATATCATCTTCTTCTTTCAAATTTATTCTTCTTTCATACCGTTTCGTTGGCAACAATGTAACCGTTCTTCTATAAACACAAAAGCCATCTAGCTTCAAAAATATATATTAAATGATCACAGAAACAGTTATAAAGGAAATATACATCAGTACAGAAAACATACACCAAAACGGAACATCTAACATTTAGAATTAAAGTTCGAGTCACGTAGACATAATATTGGAGAACCTATCCTCATCGCAGCTGAAGGTCGTCGTCACCAGATGTTGTTTTCGTCGCCACCAGATGGCGTTCTATAATATAGTTCGGTTACATAAAATAGATATAATTATAACAGGAGAAACTCTATCGACACAAAAATCAATTGCAAAGTCTGTAAATATATAGCAACAGTAGCGTCACTTATAACGGTCCAAATTTTCTGGAAAAAGTACTCTGAGCCCGTGCCTAGCATCAAAGTTGACATAAGTAATGTCTTAGGCTAATAATGTGAAACCCGTACATTATTAGCCTAAGACATTACTTATGTCAACATTATATTGAAGGAAACCGATACTCGTCAAGGCTGTGGGTCACTAGCAACTTATGACAACTAGCAACTTAGTCACTTTGAATCAACAAGTGTGTCGCCAGTATAAAGCGATGCAAAAAGTACAACTTTTTAATTTAAAATTTAATCAAAGCAGATCAGTGATATTTACGGCCATTGGTCATGAATATTTATGTGTTGATCGTCACTGACGGTCTCCTTACGGATCACTGCTATGGAGTAGTGCAATAGACCTGTACAAGCTTTTAAAATTAAAATTAAATCAAATTGCACAGATGCCCATCAAGACAGTTAGACTCCGATGACAGTCAATTAACTCAAGGTCACCGGCGACCAACAGACTGATATTCAGGTGGAATCAATTAATGAGTCACACGTTTGGGGTAATATTAATATTAAATCTGAATATAACAGAGCCTTTCAAGGATTTTAGCCTCAAAACTATTGATTAACTCTCACTTTTAGTCAAAGTACTGGTTACGACTGCGGCGCAGAGCAGAAGATTTAGAAATCAAAGTGTAATGAGGCCCATCAGAGCTGTCTGTCATCCGTGGTTGACAATACTGGCGAAGCTTACTGGCGGTTTACATATTGAGGGTCACTTGGGGTAAAAAAATGCGCCACCAGAGGGAAGCTATGCAATAAATTTAGCTGGATTGTTTTTTCAAATCAAAATTATATTAAAGTACAATTATACCAGAGAAGACTGCGGATCACTGTGGCCTTTAAGTTAATGGTTACTGTCTACTGACAATGAGGATGATCATCACCCCCTCATATCAGCAACTATTTGATTATACATCAGGAGCACTGTAAAAAGAATGTAATTTTAAATTAAATAAAAATAAAGTAGGCCAGTAACCGTCAACGTTGTTGGTCACAAATGACCTAAAGACATAATGATTCTGTTCAATCTAATTTACAGAAACTGCTCACCATGAAGACATGTCGTCAAAAGCTAAGCAAAGATTTCAGAGCTTTGCTCTACTGTCTGACTGTTGCTTCATCTATTATGGCGAAGCAAGTAAATACATTGAGAGCAAACAGCACTGAATCTTTTTAATGCAAGATCTTATTTTAGAGCTTAACAGGCTAAGCATGTACTTAGACTAATATATCTGTTTATTTATTTGTTTAGTTTTAGGTGTGCATCTTCAGATCAATTTAATTTCTTCCAGTCTTTCATCGAAGATGGAAGACAAGTGGAAGGGAAACGCCGGGGTTATAAGAAATTATTTAAATATGATCTCTCCCTCCTTCAAGATGCTCTCCAAGTCGTGCATATCATTGTCAATGAAAAGACTAATCACTTTGTTCATCTCACGTTATCGAGATACCACTACTTGCTTATAACCCTCTTCCCTATTCAACTTAAATAAATTTTCACTTCTTGAAAATTTGCTATTCTTCATCTGAAATACATAATATTAAGAAGTGTATTAATTGTTTTGCTCTTTTGCTCATTACCTTTGTTTCATGCACAGATTGTTTTTCGGGTTTATGAGCTACTAAAACAAAAAGGGAAAACACGTTTAGCTCCATGTTTCATGAGTAAATCAATTTCAAATGTATAATTAAAACAAAGTAGAGGTAAATGTAAAGACAAAACAAAGTAGAGACAATATGGTGAACTGCCAGGTGACTGGTCAGTGAATGACCGAAACTATATTATTAACAACATAACAAATGTAGCAATGCGTAGAAAATAAAATAATTCCTCTATAAACATTTCTAAGGAAATTATTCGTGGCATTAATCAATTACATAATTCCTAACTTTTACAAAACTTATTCATTTCACTAACTTATAAAATAACAGGCTGATCGTCACTTTTTTTAGTGGCATTAAAGTAAAAGTGACATTGTTATACTTTGGTAACGCCATTATTATCACGAACCGTAACTAAAACAATTACAACCAAAGTAGGAGTAACCAAATTTAAATATTTATTATGATATAATGGCATAGATATGTAGATAGAATTAAGTTACAATCGAAACATTCTACTGCATTTTCTAAGAGATGAGAAACAAATTCCAAATTCCTGTGCATGAATTCAATGCTTTATAATATTTTGTTTAGATTTAGGTAAAAAAGACAGTTAATGAAGTTCAAAACTCTCACCTAAATTTATAATAATGCCCTAGTAAATTATAATAATTTACTGTATGTACTCTGGCAACGCCGCGGATTAGCGACTTGCTAAATCCATATGCAACGAGCTTAGGGAGAGAAACAGTTGCCAGAAAGTCACATAACAGGTATCCTTCACTATTATTTGTTGTGTCCCTACGCCAGGATTTCTGTTGCAATATCTCTGATATTTGGCATGTTTATATATTTATAAAGAGGGTAGAGACAGAAAGGAGAAGAAAGACATATCATTACTCAAAATGTATTTGCTTTGACAATACATATATTAAAACTGGAACGATAAGAAAAGATTAGCATGGTTTATGCCTAAGGATGACACGCAAAATCATAACTCAAAATAAATTAGCTAATTAAACTTGATACCTTGCAATTATAAGTGCACAAAAAATAAAATCCTGATACCTTTTCAAACATCCACTAATAAGTGCATAGTTCCGGTACCGTTATTTTATTTGCGTTAGTACGCTGTGTTCTCTTTCCTGCACCAATTCGATATATGCAATGAAACTTACATTAAAGGGAAAGAACATATTTTCAACATTATAAAGTTCTTTTCTGCATAAGATTAGTATTTTTTACTGAAGTAAGACTTTGCTTAGTACAATACAATTTTTAGTGCCCAGTAAAAGTTACAATACTATCTAGGTTGAAGTATAAGAGCTGAAAAACACAAAATTACATTTTACGACATCATTTTATTTTTTATAAAATGTCTAGCAAACGCATTGGTTAGCCACAGGCAAATGATTATTTGAAACCAAGATATAAAATATGGTGTTAAAAACATCTTTTACTAATTACTTAGTGATATAAATACCTATTTATAAAAAAGATCAATTACATATATTATAAATTATTTCAAATAAATATATTATTAAAAAAACAGTCGACGCTTTAAGAAGTTGCATAGTAATCGATGATGGACACATCTTGAATTAATAAACATTACAAAATTTTAAGCTATGAATACGTTTTTATGTACCTGTGTTTTTTATAAGTCAAAAAAGAAATAAAGCTTGATAAAAACATATTATCTCTATTTTAATTCGTAGTTATTTAGAAAATCACTTACCAACCAGACCCCACCTCTTCAGTTCACTTGCAGTATATTCATAAACCACATAAACATGGCCATTAGCTAATGTTTTCTGTTTTCCAAATTACAAATGCACTTTAAGTAACAGGAGCATAGTAATACCAGATGCATTTTCTAAAGTGTTAAAGAATAATTTTCTATAAACTTTTAACAATTTATTTGTAATTGCACTCCATTTTTACTTACTTGTACGAAGTAAGGAAAGTATTGTAATCACGAAAAATTCCGAGTATCCTATTTCAACGAAAATATCCATTTTGACCTCTATCTAATGCAATTTAACGCTGTTTTTGCGTGACATCTGTACGTAAGGACAGAATAAAGGCCTCTTTTCCCCAAAACGAATTATAGAACTGATTTAAAAAAGGATTCAGAAGAGATTTTTTCGTGGCGTCTGTGCGTACGTACGTACGTATGTATCTCGTATAACTTAAAACTGAGAAGCCTTTGAACGTTAAACTGTGTATATAGAACTGCTATAACATGTAATTGTGCACCTCCCTTTTTGGTTGCAATCGGCCGCACCCAAAAGTGTATATATATATATATCCGATATATATATATATATACGCACCCGCTGTGTTACTCGGCTCCATGAGCTCAGTTTTTTTATGCTTATATGTTGATAAATTGCGCATTTTTTGCTTTAAAACTGATTGAATTATGTTTTTCAGGTTTCTATCTAGTTCATCTGCATGCAATAGTTAGAAGTATCAACAATTTAATAGCTTTTTAAGTGCGGCTAATTCTAATTTTTGCCGCAGCAGCCATATTTGTTTAGCCATATTCGCAGCAGCCATAGCAACCATATTTGTTTACGTTTGAAACTTAGCAGAATAATAAATTCAATTTCTGCACCTTCAGTGTCTTTTTGCCGAGGGGGACCAAAATTAAACTTACATTTTTGTGCACCGAAAAATCTGCCTTCTGTCCTGTTGGCCGAATTGCTTGTTTTTGCATAGAAACTCCAGTTTTAATAGTAAAAGTTTTTATTGCTTTAACTGTATTTGGGGTTTCATTTTTTTTATATATTTTAAATTTTTAATAAAGATATTTTGAGTTTTTTATGTATCTTTAACCTTGTCGCGAACTGAGAACAGAATTAATGGAATGAGAAATATATCTGTAAAACAATTCGATGAAATAAGTGTTTCGTATTACCAGCAAATGTTGTCGTCAGTCTGTCTCGGTCAGCGGAAAATGCTTATGAGCAGCGCATGTGCATTAGGTAAGCGGCGCTGAGTAGTCTGTGAAAAGCTGTTTATTTTTTATTTGTTTAATTTCTTTTATGCATCGTTTTACATTTATAACAGTATTTGAACAGACCATGTTGCAACGATTAAATAATTCTTCAGATGATACAATTTTTGTGCATACTGAGTTATAAAATGAATGAGATATAACGCTGTTAAGTGACCTAGCGCCAGAGTGTCGGTATAGTAAATAACTATAGTGAAATTTAAATAGTACATTTATTCTATTGTGGTTTATGCGTTATCGACGAAGTAGATTTAATTCAATTCAGTAAGTTTAAGTGAAATGCAGGAAAAATGCATATAATTTAATATTCCGTAAAGGGAGTCATGTAGTGTACACAAGAGAATTTTTATTAGTAATTGGAGATTTTGCAAGCTGTGTTGTATGGCTCTCCGTCAATTTATGAAGGTTGAAAACTTGGATGCGTATTCTGCACTAAGAGGTTTTAGTGGTATTTTGAAAAATCACTGGAGAATCCGTAAAAGAGTGTACGATTAAGCACCAATGTTTGACAATTATGAACGACAACACACATGGAGTTATTTCTCCATTATACGCCCCTCATTCAAATCGATCTTTTGGATACACGACGATTTTGTCTTTTTTTTTTTTTTTTTTTTTTTTTTTTTTTTTTTTTTCTTTCTTCCGAATGATGAGAAGCATTTGAAGAAAGCATCACAATTTCTAACACTGATGAAGCAGAATGGAGTTGTGTGACTCGGCGCTTAATCGTTGCTCAGATTTCTTTTATGTCGTTGAAAATCTACTAATTGTTAAATTCAGGAATGTTAAAGCTACCTGTGACGTAATGGTGGCTAAAGAAAGTTCATAGTATCTAGATGATAGTAAAGATGAAATTGGTATAAGAATTATCTCATATTTTATCAGTGCGTTGGCATCTTTAGAAATATCAAAACATATATGTATATTTAAAATACCTATATAGAACTAAGTTTAATGACATACTGTAAGGAATTAAAAAGGCAGGTTTTTGCTCGCGTATTAAACAAAGGCTGATATTGTTAACTTTTCTTAACATCTAATTGGAATCTAGTAATAGTGCATGTATATTTAATTATTTTAAGCATAACATGCTTAAATTTCTTTTTAAAGCACGATGTTTCTAAAATAAAATGATTGAACATAATTCTCATTATCATAATCCTCAGTATACATGTGAATGTGATATGTTTCTGAATTATAAGAACGTTTTCTTCTTATTTTCTCTTCATTAACTGACGCCGCTCTAACGGAATAGCACCCAGAAAAGTGTATGCATCGCTGTAAATTTGGATAAATCTATTTATTAAATATTATCTCTAATAAATTCGCATTCATTTCTTCATATTTATATCTACAACTGTGAAGCTACATATTTATATCTTGATATCATGCTTTAATATAAGACATTTTATATTTACGGTTGTTTCATAGTTTATAAATGTAACTGGTAAATCTGGAAGTACCTCACTTTATTCCCAAGTAGTGCTTTGAATCGGTAACTTACTCATTTTCTAAAACGTATTTATTTCCTAACCTTTTAATGTCAGACTTTTTGACACTTACCATACGTGAGTGAAAATCGTTACTGCAACAACTAAATGCGGAGATATATCAAAAACTCTAATGAATGGTAACAACACGTATCGCATATTATGTGAGGAACATTAAGTAACGTATAAATAAATTTACGTGTTTTCTTATCCTATGTTATTAGATAAAGCATTTCGCTTAAATTTTCCTTTTAAGTCACTTTTCGCTTGACTGGATTTTTTTAGAGAAAGAAGATGTTTAGATAATGATTTATGCAAATCACTTTTCTTTGTACTAAATATTTATGCATGCTGACCTAAGAAGAATCTAATATGCAAGACGAAGGGATTCAGGTTCTTTAGCAAAAGTAATCTAATCTTCTAAAGTAAAACAAAAGAAATGTAAAAATCGATAACAGGCTTCAGAAACGTTCCACTATTTCTCTCGAGAACTTAATTAGTTTACAGAGTATTAGAATTTTTAATTATAAAATATTAAATTACGATAAAATTGCAAATGCTGCGTGCAGGCAATTAATAACTAATGAATTTATTCTCTATTAACAGATGTAAAATAAAAGCAAAAAAAAGGAATTATTGAGAGAAGAAAACATATTTATTATATTTTTTTGTTATGCAGGACTGGATAGTTTTCGATGAGATTCAACACACAATGTATACTATTTGGAGATGTGTAGTCAAAGTACGTTATGGTTCGGTTCTCATTCATAGTATTGTGACGGATTTTGTATTTAGTTGGCAATTTTTAGTAGAGTTGTAATTCAAATTGTTTTATATCCCCGTGCAATGCAGCACGAGACTTATTTTTAAGAGAAAGCTAAGTAGGAAAAGTAAAAATACAGGAGCACGCGAATTTAACGTTAATAAGCAGATATCTTGTAATTTATTTTTAAATTGAATAAATGCAATTGTGTGTTAACTGTAACTGTAATTCTACTCTTTAGCTTTTCAGAAACGTCGAGAAAATAAAATTACCAGAACGTTCTCGTGCATGATTAAAAAGCTTTAAAAAGCCGGAGAAAAACATCTCAGTTCAGTTGTTTTTAGTTGTTGTTTACTTAGCTGCATTAAATTTTGCTGAACGGAATAGCTTTCTCTGCACTTTGAATTGTGTTCTATTAAACGTTTTAGTAATTTAAAATATAACTACTGTGTGAGATTGTGCTAATGCGCGAATTTCTCTGAGCATTTTCAGCATTTTGTTTTATTTCTTGTGATAAGAATAAATTTTATTGACTTTTCATTGAACTTGTGCATTCAATCTATTACGAACCCGTACACACACAACAGTATAGCAATGTTACTGGTTTGTATTTTTGCCTTCATTTCTGTGACTAAACCTTTAATCTTTGCTGCATTCTTTCAATCCTTATACACTATCCATCAAAAGTTTATAAGAAGGACTCAGTTCGCTACGTAAATACTTTAACATTTTTAATTT